TATTACTATTATATTTTTTCTACATTTTTAAATATTTTCATACAGTGTACATGTTACTATTATAATTTACACGTAATGCATTTTTTTTACATTTATATAAGTATTACTATTACGTTTTATGTAATACCATTTATTATATATTACTATTATTTTCGTTTCATGTATCGTATTTTATATACGTATTTTATGTCTGTATACTGCAAAACGAAGATGAACGGGAAGTAATAAAAAATATCCGTTTATATAATTATATTGATATATTTTTTATATATAGAAATAAAATATATCAAAATTTCATCAAATAACATTGTTTTTGTGTATCCATGAATTGTGCGATCCATCGAATCCCAGCCACTTGACGTACACCTTGTCTCCCTTCCTGTGCAGTACTTTCTCCACGAGATACACGTCCGGATGAGTAGCGCGATGCAACTCGTGCTCGGAGAACGCTCCAGCGATGGATTTTCCGCGATAATCCTCGAGTAAATAGGTTACAGGATTGGTACGCTGCACCTTAATGATCGTAAACACCTCGGTGGTCCAATTTGGCGTGTAACCTTTCTCAAAAATCTTGTACTTGCTCACGCGTACCGAATCGCTTACTTTGAATTTTGCAGGACCCGCGATCTTTATCGCGTGTCCAATAGTCGTTCGGCGATCGCGGGAGTACTTCGGCGGGTCGCATGCCGATGGTGCGATGCTTGCGCGCGTTGTAATCTGACAGGAGACGCGGCAAATCGTCGACCCACTTGTCATTGCCGTTGAGCGTAAACATCTTCCACATGTCGTTCTTGAGCGTGCGATGGAACTGCTCGACCATTGACGCTTTCAACGTCGAATACGTGGAATAGTGATTAACATAGTGCTTTTTCAAGATTTTCTGCACGTCGGCGTTGTAAAACTCTTGCCCCATATCCGTTTGTAAATTTTTCGGACATCTACTCTCTCGAACGATCTCACCGATAGCGTTAGCCGTCTCGCTTCCACCCTTGCTCTTGAGTGGTACGGCCCACGCGTATTTGCTCAACACATCGATGACGGTGAATATGTAATGGTGGCCTCTGTTGACACCCGAGTACGGGCGCATTTCAACGACATCAGCCTGCCACAGATCGTCGTATCCTCGAACTATGACGCGCCTTCGCGGAAAATTTTTCTCGCAGAAGCGTGTAATTCTTCGACGAGTCGACGTCTCTCGGAACTAATTTTCTCTCTCTGCTTCTCAGATTTCTTTTTCCTGATTCGATGCGTAATACACTG